CCCACCCACCCTCTTCTCACACCTGCACAAAGTCTCAATTGCTCTAGTGGCTGCTGTGGCACCCACTGTGCCAAAATCAGCAAAGAAATGAAGCACAAAGTGAGGTCATTAAATGGTTCTAGAGGAGATTATAAAAAAAAAAAAGTCTCCAAAATGTTCGGAATATTCTGAAAACCAATATTCACCTAATGTCTATGCTGTTGTAGTAAATTTACTTATTCCTTTAAAAGGCATCTGTTTCTTAATTTTAAAATTAATACATGCTTGTTGTATAAAATTTAAATACAGAAGTACAGAAGAAAGTGAAACACTATGTTTCCATGCAAGACTCAGACTTACTTACTGTGTACCAGTTCAAACTAATGTAAGGTTTGTGTACATTAATGTAAAATCTGACATAATGCATTAGACTCACTGTTCACGCAATCTCCTATCCAGTATCTTGAACCAAGAGCAGTATGTGAGCTCCTCGGAGAGAAGTGACTGTCTTATTCAAAACCGTTGCAAAGGAATACTTATCTTTCATTTTCCTCTTTAAAACTCTAAAGATGCTCCCTAGTTTTCATGTTTCAATGTCAAATGAATATCTAAGAACGTACCCATATACAGATGGGTTCACTCATACCTTCACTGAATTACCATGTTTCCAGATACATGTTTCCTAATCTTACTAGACCATCTTCATAAGAGAGCCCCTTAAGCCATGGTAACAATTCAACTTTCTTCAGATCTATTTATTTCTTCACTAAGATGTGGCAGAAAGGCAGGGTACTCTAGCCATGAGTATATTATACTTCTTTAAAAGGTGATAATGATCTTATGATGATCACCATTTTACTGGATTCTCCTGACATAGCAGCTTACTATATCAAAGTCAAGAAATTAGCTTAATATTTCTGTCTCTGCCCATAGTGAAACATTTGCCATTTTCTGTTGAATCATAATCTATATTTTATCACCATTAGAATAAGCTTTCAGTACATGGAAGAATGTCATTACACAGTCCCTATTCCAAAGAAATCACACAGGCATTAAAACAAGAACAATCCTAGAAATGCTGGAGGAGGACCCCACTGTTTGTATCACTTCATCCAGAGTGTTCATGCCTACATTTTGTTTCCACCTATGGTTAAGTCCTACTCATAGAATTTTTTCTAAGTTTTTCTAAGATTTACCTTACAATCAAAAGAGCACATAAACTGTAATTCAACAAATAGTTCTACAATGATGTTCACAATGTGTTTAAGGTACCTTGTTAGATTCCAGACAGGATATAAAAAGATATATAACATATACTTACATCCCTCATAGAGTTTCTGATCTTTGGGGAAGGGGCAGCAAGAACAAACAGGTACACAAAAACTGCCAAACGAGGCAAAAATAAGAGTAAATGCCATAGAAAGGTATAGGTAAATCTAAACAAAACATCTTCCCCTTCGGTAAAAGAATTTGGTCTTTAACTTTCTGGCTCTGTTCCCTTAAAAACCTGATAAGCTAATTTGTCAACTATACCGCTAGGTACATTAACAAATATGGCGATTGACTCCCATGTCCCTTAAAGCTCTACCTATACAACTGTTATAAGAAATACTGGCTTCTAAGGGACATGAGGTTTCTAAGTCAGGGAGACCCTCACACCCACCCAATATGGATTTTGTCTCCCTGACACCTGAGCTGTCATCTGAGAGGCCAAAGAAATAGCTCCTGGATGGCTGACTGTACTCCTGTATGGTCTCCCACAGAACAGGAACACTGGATGCAAACCTCTGGCAAGCCGTAAGCCGTGGCTCCTGTCCTATATACCATGAAGACTAGTGCCAACTAATGGCTCCTGTCCTACATACCATGTAGGCTGATGCCAACTATGGCAGTCTTTTGTGTCTAAATATTTAGTTGAATCTAAAAATATCTCCTTATAGGAGTTGCAAAAGGTTAAAGTTCTAGACTCTAGGGAGTTCAAAAGAAGAACACATCTACTTGAGTGACAGGAAGGATAAGAAAAAACATAAGGTTTCACTGAAGATGAGAAGGCTTCTGAAAGATAGGCAAGATTTTGAACATTTGAATTTTGTACCAGGTATATCATCTATACAAAAAAAAATTTTAAAAAAAAGCAGTAATGACAAAAACAATACTCTATGCATATGCAAAGAGAAAGGAAAACATGGCACGGGAAGTCTTCAGGGAAGTACAAAGATGTTAGTTAAGACTTCAAGAAAGTATTCATTTTAATTTCTCAAAATTAAATAACATACAAACTCCCTTTAATAGAGGAGAGTTTTCTTATAGATTTAGAGAAATATTATGTTAAACTATGTTTTTAGGTGATCTGTGTACCAATACCATCAAATATAAATTCATGAAATTTCATGGCATTACTAGGTATAAAGTGGTAGTCATCCAGGATGATTCCAAATATGCTCAATTGATTTTCCTAGTTCAAAATAAAAATAGCAATCTTTAAAATCTTCAGAGACCTCATAAAACCTCCTGGGGGCTACATCCATAGACCCCAGTTTGACTAACATCAATTAAACAAATATTGAGAGCCTAATGTTTGCCGGGGTTTGTGAGAGATACAAAGATACTATCTCTGTCTTCAAGGAACTTACAATAATATAGTTTCCTTTCATTCAATAAACATTTAAGCACACATTAATTGCAAGACATTGAGACACTGTACCAGATAATGGAAATAATAAAAAAAGTGGCCCTTCTCTAGAAACTGACTTATGGGGCAAACAAGTATATCAATGATTATAGTATCAGAGGTATGCACAGAAGGCTTCATAATAGTAGTCACATTAAAACAAGTTTTAAAGAATGCTAAGTTAACAAGACCAAGAAATACAGTGATGGAAAAGGTGAGAGAAGGTATTCCAGGCAGAAGGCACACAATGCATCAGAGATATCAAGAGCATGACACATTTAAACATGTTTCCCAAAGGGTGATCTACAGCCCACCAGTATCACAATCACCTGTAATGCACATTACAATTGTTTTTTATAGTGCCACTTAAACCTAATGAATCTAAAGATCAGGCTCCAAATATACATTTTAAAAAGCACCTTCCATCTTATATTTGCTGAAGGTTAAGAAGCACACAATTATAAAGAACTGCTAAATTTCAGAGCAGATGGAGTTAAAGGTATGAGAGGCCAGAAATGAGGACAGATAGCTAGGCAAGAACTAGTTCAAGAAGGATCTTGGGTACCAATCTACTGTCCTCAGGTGCTGTCAAGTCGATTTTCGACTCATAGCGATCCAATGTGATAGATCAGAACTGCCCCCTAGGGTTTTCTAAGCTGTAATCATTATGGGAACACATTGTTAGGTTTTTCTCCTGAGGAACCACTGGGTGGATTCGAACCAACAACCTTTCAATTAGCAGACAAGTGCTTAACCTGTGTGCCACTAGGGCTCCTGGGTACCAAGATAGGAACATGATACTTATCCTGAAAAAAAAAAAAAAAACAATCAGAGCCACTAAATGTTTTTCCTCCCAAGCAAAGTAATGATGTGATCATAATAGCAGTATGCTGCGATAAAGCTAAGTACTTCAAATGTGAGTCTGAGGAAATCTGTAAATAATTCTCCTAGATTCAGCAGGTTGAGCAGAAGCCCTGATCTGATGAGAGCCATGTAAAAAGTGTTACCTCTCCAAGACTCCTTCCCCCATTCCCCACTTACAAATAAGTTACCTTTGCTCAATTCAACCCTTCACTGAAAAGCACTTAATACCCTGTATAGTTTGAGAGTGATCCTCAGGAGTGCATGGTTCCCGGAGTCCAAAATAAGTACCCTTTTTATTTAAGGGAAGGATATTAAAATGTATAGCTTGCTAATTTTGCTGTTGTTGTTAGCTGCCATTGAGTCACCCCGATTAACGGCGACCTCAGGCACAACAGAAGAAAGCCCTGCCCGGTTCTGCACCATCCCCATAATTCTTTGCAGATGGACACCTGTGATCCATAGGGTCTTCACTGACTATTTTCAGATCGCCAGGCCTTTCTTCCTAGTCTATCTTAGTGTGGACACTCCACTGAAACCTGTTCATGATCAACCCAACAGGCAAGCCTCCACTGACAGATGGGTGGTGGCTGCACATGAGGTGCACTGGGCAGGAATTGAACCCAGATATTCCATATGGAAGGCAAGAATTCTACCACTGAACCACAACTTTCTATTACAACTCATAATTCTACAATTGTACCCATGAATTCCTTCAACTATCAAGTGCAGGACCAACCAGCCTTGGTGGTTACCTACATTAACTGCTATTAGGCATAAAACATAAGGAGCATTAACCACTATTTTTTTCATCTGATACTTAATTGAGTTCAGTGCTTCTTAGCTCAAGTAGATACACGGGACTAAACAGGCAGCTCCTGTCCGGAGGTGAGA